AAAAAAAAAAAAAAAGAAAACAGCTTTTTGCAAATTTTGTTGGCGAAATTTTCTAGAATTTACAGAGCTTTTTTTTGCTTTTCTTTTTTTTTGTCTAATTTCATTAGATTCCATAAACTGTTTTTCGTTTGCGTCTCACAAATCTTTATTAAATGCAAAACGCATAGCACCAACAGCAATTGTACTGAGGATTATATCGCTGTTTGGCTAACCCATAGTTGCTGAAAATTTTAAATTGCCCATAATTCTGTTGCAAACTATCAAAAGGCATAAACATTAGAAACTGTAATTTAATAGCAGTTACTCATGTAACAACGATAAAGTTGCTGCTATGTGAAAAACAGTGTAGTTGTAAGAAAATCTGTCCAAAAAGAATATGGGAAAGGAGAAGGAGAACAATGAAATAATCCAGTTTTTCAAATACAAAACAATAAAAACTATCTGTATGTATCAAGAAAAGCAGTATGGTGTCCAGCTGAACCAAATCCGATAAGTCAGAACAAGTAAAACTCAAACAGCTGCATACATCTTATCAGATTCAGGACGTTTTACAGTTAAAATTTAATAGCACAGCAACAGCAGCACTAACATCAGGACCAGTTCTTGTTCTAAGCAACTGTTGCTAATGAAAATTTCACTTCCAAATGTTGTGATCAATGTTGACATCTTCCGCTGTGATAGATGTAATAATGACTACAGCTTCTAGCATGTTAGTAATACTAGCAATAATGGTAGTGTTGGCAGTTAATAAGATTCTATACTTGAAAAGATGAAGAACTGAAGAAACATGAAAAATGAATAGTTGGATAATGGTTAGATGGACAGCCTTTAATACATGTCCACAATCTTAAAAAACCATCATTCATTTGACACCAATGAAAATTATGCTTAAACTTTGTGCAAAAAAAAAAAAAAAAACCACAAAATCAAAGACTGTTTTTTCTTTCTGAAACCTCATAAAAAAATGTTGGTTAGAAACGATTTTGAAAAAAAAATTACATAACTGAAAAAAAAATCAGTGCTATTTCAACAACAGTTTTTGACAACGGTGACAGAAGCAGCAGTAGACGTCAGCGGTTCGTCAATGGCCATCACGACTTAGAGACTTTGGCTGCTGCTAAAACCTAGAGATGAACGGCAACTCAGTCAGAAACCTTGATAACATTAATATCAACTTTGGTAATGACTTCAAAAACTGCTTTTTAAGAAAAACAACTGATTTTTTTCCGTCAAAAAAAGAAAATAGACAAAAAAAAGTTATACTGCTTTGACAAGTTTATATTACCGTCTACTGATTTTGTTGTGTTATCCTCCAAATAACAAACCGAAAATAAAACAACCACAAGTTTTCGTTGACCTCACCAACAGTTCAACGCTCGTTTGTATATATGAGGAGGAAAAAAAAAGAAGAAAAACCACCCCGTTAATTGAATCTAATTCAAGTTAAATAGCTAATTTCAATGGGATACCCATAACAAGCCAGGGAAATTATAAGATATTCTCCTCGTTCAACACCACTCCTCGCCATCTTCGAGGCACAATTCTTCACCAAAAAATGTCATTCTTACAGCCTAAATAGAATCGAACAAAAAAAAAAAAAACAGCGAAAAAGAAGAATGAATACTACGTTAAAACAAAAAACAGCCAAAAATAATTGCATCTTGTTAAAAAAACTAATAAACAGATTGAACAAACAAAATTAATGAATAAATGTAGAAACCTTAAAGTTGCTAAGCGCTTACAAGAAGTATATGAATGATATCCAATTCTTCAGTTTCTTGTTCAACAGTTGAAAAAAGTACGGAAAAAAAAGCCAAAAACAAGTG